TTAGGGTTTAGGGTTTAGGGTTTAGGGTTTTGCTGCTGCTTTGAAGGTGGGAGTTTGCCCTCAAGATTGTGGGCTTTAAGCCTTTTGCAAATGTGCAGCTCCCTCGCTTCTTCCTTCCCCAAATCATGTGCGCTTAAACCCTAAACCCTAAACCCTAAACCCTAGTGTGTTGGGTAGCCAGCTGCCAGCGTCGCCGCTTGCTGCTGCTGCTGCTCCTGCTGTACAACTGCTGCTGCTGCTGCTGCTGCTACTCCTGCTACTACTACTTTTTCTACTGCTGCTGCTTTTTCTGCTGCTTTTGCTGCTGCTGCTGCTTCTACTGCTGCTGCTGCCACTCCTGCTGCTGCTGCTCCTACTGCTGCTGTTGCCACTCCTGCTGCTGCTGCTCCTACTGCTGCTGCTGCCACTCCTCCTTCTGGCGCTCCTACTGCTGCCGCTGCTGCCACTCCTGCTGCTGCTGCCATTCCTGCTGCTGCTGCTCCTACTGCTGCTGCTGCTGCTGCTGCTGCTGCAGCTACGGATTTGTGTCTGAAGAGGCTGGGGAGTTGAAGCGGGAAAAGCTTTTGGACAGCGCCCGAGCAGCTTTGGGGCTGCTGCATTCTCAGAAAGAAAGTAAAGCTTCTATGCGCGACAGTTCGCAATCTGGCAGCAAATAAAATCCATTTTAAACTTTTTTTTCCCCTTTTTCTCCTTTTGCTGCTGCTCTTCTTCACCGCTTTGCTGCTGCTGCTCTCGCCGCTGCTCACTAGCGAAACGGCAGCTCTCCAGTGTACGTACACCCCGCACAAGTGCCGCTGCTGCTGCTGCTGCTGCTGCAGCTGCTGCTGCTGCTGCTGCAGCAGCTCGCTAATTTTTCTTCTTTGTTTCTTCCTTGAAATTGCTTCGAGCTCTTATGAATCATGAGAAGAGATTTTTAGTCAGGCTAGGGTTTGCGGACTGCGCTAGCAGCAGAACTCGGCGAGGGTTTAGGGTTTAGGGTTTAGGGTTTGGGCGGCGCCGCAGCACAGCAATAGCTGCCCAGCTGCTTCTTTAGGAGCTTTCCAGGCTGTCTGTACACTGCAGGTGCCGAGCTAGGGTTTAGAGGGTTTAGGGTTTAGAGGTTTAGGGTTTAGAGGTTTAGGGTTTAGGTCTTGACATATCCTTTCTAAGCCCAATACGCTGACAGTTTGGGGACCCCTCTGGCGCCCTTTGGGGGCCCCTCTTGGGTACTTTGGAGGCCCCCTTTGGGTAACTTGGGGGCCCCATTTGGGTACTTTGGGGGCCCCCTTTGTGTACTTTAGGGGCCCCCTTTGGGTATTTTGGGGGCCCCTCTTGGGGCCCCTGAGTTCTGGAAGTTGAGTTAATGGAAAAGGTACCTTTTGGTGTCTCTTCGGGTGTACGTACAGCTGAACTCTGTCCGTTTTTGGGTTTGCGGAAAGGTCGCTGCTGCAGCAGGAGCTGCGGATACACCTGAATAGCTATATGGTGTCTGCTGCAGCAGCAGAACTGAAGTTGAATTATTGATTTAAAAGCTGAATGGAGATTTCCGGAGAGTCTTTGAGGGTTCAACTAAATCAAAAATCAATTTTGAATGATTAAAAACTCGAAATGTCTTTTAATCCCGCGGGCCTCTGCTGCTGCTGCTCAGTCAGCTGCTGCATGCGCTGCAGCAGCCGCGCAGGCACAAGCAGCAGCAGCAGCGGCATTCCGAAGCACTTTTTGCGCGATCTTGATTGCAAAAGTTGAAATTAATTATTTATATTCTGTTTCGAGTCAGGGGTTTCCAGGGAAGCCTCGAGAAGCGGCAATTAGCTGCGGATTCCGAAGGCGGAGAGCGAGGAGAGGCTGCTGCTGCAGCCATGGCTGCTGCTGCTTGCGGGCCAAACGGAGCTGCTGCGGCGCTGCTGCGCCGCAGCTTTCCCAGGTTTCACTTTTCAATTGCGCCTTTGCAGTCGTTCAGTCCGACGAACCCGCAGTTCCACCCCCCGGGGGCGGACTGCGGCGCGAAGCGGCCGTGGCAGGGGATGGATATGCGCAAAATAAACACTCCCAAGTACATTAGTCCGAACATAAAAAGAGTTCCGATGACTTCTGGTGCGCGAAATATTCAAAATGATGGCGGATCGGCTCCGTTCAGCCTTCGTGCAGAACTTGAATTATTTGAGGTGTACAGACAGCTCGGTCTGGCGGCGGCGCGCGCGAGCGCGATCCTCTCATTTCATTCCTTTCGGCGGATTCTTTTTGAATTTGGACTTTAGTGTGCCGTTTGATTTTGTTCTTCTTTTGCATTTCCCGCAGGATACCAGTATTTGAACTTCACGACTCCGTCGATCTACGCGCCGACGCAGGCGGACATCGCCGTCTTCTTCGACACCGAAAACTGCTTCAAAGTCTACACCCCCAAACAGCTTTTGCTCGCCGCCTGGCCCCAACTTCGTTTTCTTTTGATGTCTCTCTTGGCCGTGGCCTTTCCCTCCATTCCAATTCTCCTTTTTGTCCTTTACATGAACAGGTTCGAACCCATGGAGCAGGTCATGGACCGCGACGAGTACTGGCGGCACTTCAAGTACGAGGGTTTAGGGTTTAGGGTTTAGGGTTTAGGGGCCCGGAACGCGTTTTTCTTCAGCGCAGCAGCCACCACAAAACCCCCGTTGAACCGAACCAGCCAATTAACCGACTTAATAAGTTTAACTACCAATTAATTAATTAATTTATTTATGTATTTATTTATTATTATTTATTTATTATTTGTTTATTTATTATTAGGTGGCACTACTTTGGCCCCGACCTGGACCACCACGCCTACACCCAATACCTCGAGGCCCGCAGAGCCAAAAAGTGGAGAGGAGTTGACGTCAACCCCGAGGACTATATTCCCCCCCAATACCGAAACCTCTAAA